ACACTACCAGCATCAGACAATTCTTCATATCTTGGTGGCTTAAAGCTGGGTATAAGAAATTGGGAGATGTTTTTAAACATTGTCTCCCAGGTATTGTATGCTGGTATATTTGGAAGGGCTATGCTAACCTTATTTGGGCTCAGAGTGTCTCATTTCCCTCACATGAAGAGATTATTCATTTTGTGAAACTTTTCTCCCAGGTTTGGGTAACAAGTATCACAGTTTCTAAGGTCCATTCTGCTGATAGAGTGCTTTATGAAGAGAATCTTATACCACACACTTGTAGATTGAAGCGGCCATCTATACTACCGGTTAATTGGAAGAAACCGAATCAAAAATATAAATTGAATACGGATGCAAGCTTCTCACCTTCTTCATCCGTGGGAGGTGAGATTCTAAGATCTGCAAATGACCATATGGTAAGCGCAATCTGTTTCCCGGTGCAGTCTTCTTCACCTTTAGAGGCGGAGATCCAGACTCTAATTTGAGCAACCAATTGGGTGATAGATGAAGGATTGGACGATGTTCAGGTCGAAGCTGACTCTACTGAGGCGGTGCATATTATGGGTGTTTGGATATGATTCTCAAAACTGATTCTGCCTCCTTCAGGGAGCAGAAGCAGAAGCTGGAGTGTTTGGGTGAAATTCCAGAAGCACTTCTGGAGCTCTAATTTACTCTCAGAATCAGTTTTTTTTAGAAGCTAGGAGGTACCAACTTCTGAAAACTGATTCTGATTCTGCTTCTGTTTTTAAAAAAGAAACAGAAGCAGAATCAGTTCCAAACACCCCTATAAGGGAGAATAGAGAAGGACGTTGGCTTTGTGAAATAAAGGAAATGATGCTTCGGATAGAGGATAAGGCGATTTCCTTTTCCAGCGTATGGCGTGAAGCTAACTGGGCCGCACATTTCATTGCGGATCAAAAACCGGCCCAACTAGTAGTTTATTCCCAGCTTAATATGCTCCCGGCCCGGGCCAAAAATGCCTATTTTATGGATCTCTTTGGGCTTCCATCTCTCAGATTTATGTATAAGTTATCTCGGTTTTATTTGTATTTTGGGTCAGGTCTAGTCCCCCCAAAAATTTTCTTTCATTGTTGCTTTTTTATGTCCTTTTTCGGAGGAATGCCTCCGAAGAGAGGTTTTGGTCTAGTCTCCCTCTCTGTTTGTAATTCATTTTATTTTAATAAAATACCGGCAAACGTTCCCCGGCGTTTGACCCACTGATTTTGGTGGTTAGCAAAAAATATATTTATGTATTATTTGATGGAAATAATACTTAAGGGGTACCATTGTGGTAACACCCAATAAGAAGAGTTGTGACTATTGGTAATTAGCCATATTAATATGCATCTCTCCATGATGAAGTACGGACACGTACGTATGAATTAAAACACCCAAGGAGAGAAGCATCACAACTCCTTAATATCACATACTCCATCTACTTTTGTCGGATTACCAATTCATTTGCTAGAAGTAAAACAACGGCTTCTTCATCAACTAATCATGGCCTAGCAAAGATTGGCTTCCCATCATGTAAGTTTTTCTATATGAACTTGTATATGATATAATTTCTAACATGTAGTGTGATGTGTAGATCTTGGATCTCATATATTAAAATAAACAACAATCCCATCCCATATTATTTTGCAAAATCAATATTTCTTGGTGAATCAATGTTAAAGTTAATTTCTCCTTATTAATAATTAATTCAATCTTAACAATTAAAACATACATATCCAGAAACTACATTAAAATCTCTATAAATATACAATATCCAAACAAAAAAGTAATTAAGAATTGATATCGATCTTAATTAAGTGAACAAAATGAATCTGTTTGATCCCAAAAAAGTCAATTTTGTAACTCAATTTGAGACAGAAGGAGTACTAATTAGTATAATGTGTGAACTAAAAAAGTAGGTAGGGAAAGAAAAACATAGATGATATTTGATTAGTACGTTATATATACTTCTTCTGTTCTTTATTTGTTGCAACGGTCAACATTTCACACTTGCCAACGCACGTCTTTGACCGTAATTATATCTTAATCTCTATTAGTAAAAAATATTTAAAAATTAGATTTTGAAAATTTGTAATGAGATAAATTGAAATATTTTTTTTAAAAAATACTTTTCATAAAATAATAATAATATAAAATGTAGTCAAAGTAGTATATGTGAATAGTGTAAAATTCAACATGTTGTGATTAAAAAGAGACGGAGGATAGTATGTAGTAATCTTCTTGTGAGACGCCTCCATTTGAGGTGTTTTCGAGTGGAAATGTGGAATTATTTTAAGAAATATTTTAGGCATGTTCAATTCTTCATGAAGTGTATAATATTTCCACATTATTTTCCTCAAATTCTATTGGGTAGTTAATTAAAGAAATTATTGAAAAACACTATGCAAAAAATATAGGAGTATAAAACACTTTCAATGATTTATTTAATTGACTTTTTAGTTGAGTTTCAAACTGAAATTGTGTAAATATAAGAGAGAATTGTCTAAATAGGATTAAAAGAAGGTAGAATTGCAAAAATAGGACCACTATGTTTTATTAAACACAAATAGGACTAAAATTCCTTGCAACAGGCTTCCAGACCATCGACACCAACAACACTCTCCGCGCCAGTTGTCATCGTCAAGACCGCCGCCGCCACTGCCCAGTGAGGAGCTGCCGCTGCCACCGGCGAGACCGCCGTTGCACACACTCGGCAAGAACACACATCATGCTAGTTGGCTTACCTCGCCCTCTAGTGAAAATAGTGCTACATCTTCATCCGCCAATGTTAAGTTCTCCCCTGGCGGTGTCTACATCTTCCCGTTGTGGCTACCTTCTCTAGAGAGTATGTTATCAATTTCAGGTGGAATTGCCATCGTCATAACACCAAAGAAAAAAACATAACATTTTTAGATGCAAAAACATGTCATTTTTTTAGATTATAACATCACATTTTTAGGTCCAAAAGCATGTCATTTTTTAGATTACAACATGACATTTTTAGATGCAAAAAGATGTCATTTTTGAGATTACAACATGACATTTTTAGATGCAAAAACATGTCATTTTTTAGATTACAACATGACATTTTTAGGTCCGAAAACATGTCATTTTTTAGATTACAACATGACATTTTTAGATGCAAAAACATGTCATTTCTGAGATTACAACATGACATTTTTAGATACAAAAAAATTGTCAACCATGTGGCATTTTTTAAAAGTTGATACACGAACATAATTAAAAAATTAGACCAAGATATTTTCGAACAATTGATAGCGCCTCGAAAAATTGCCAATATATCTCCAAAAAATTGCCAATATATCTCCAAAAAATTGTCAACCATGTGGCATTTTTTAAAAGTTGATACACGAACATAATTAAAAAATTAGACCAAAATATTTTTGAACAATTGATAGCGCCTCGAATTTCAAATCCAATATTTTCAATTAAAAAATATTTCCATTTTGAACCTAAAAGAATTAACATAAACATCAACATAAAATTAATCTAAAATGTTGACCGAATAAGAATGGAGCAGAGAAGAGCAGAGAACAGAAGATAAGGAAAAGGAAAAGAGGGAGGAGGAAAAGAAGAAGAAAGAAGAAGAAGAAACACTTACCCGGAGATATGTCGACCTGGGCAGCGGAGAGGGAATAGAAGATGACCTGCAGATCGACATGGGAGAGATCTGGGGCGATCTACGCGGAAGGGGAGGCAGAGATCGGGAAAGACAAACACGGAAGAGGTAGGGATTTAATATATTAGGGGTAATATGGTAATAGGGAGTCCCTAAGTTGGAGTATTGGCTATGTTTTAGTCCTAATTAGATCAATTTCTTTAAATATAATGAACACTTCATAAATAAGAAACTCAGTAATAAAAAAAAATCATCAAGAAGTTTCATGTAGAAGCACCTCAGCTCCGGCCAATAAAGGTGTCGTGGCAGCGGTTTTGACTTGTGCTCTAGAATTGGGAGGAGAATATGTATTTTTGTATAAAATGAGTAGTAAAGATGGAGGCCGGCGGCCGGACGAATGAATGAATGATGATCGGAAGTGAGACGTGATATTGGCACGGCTCAATAAAAAAGAAGAGTTCAGCATTGTTTGTTTGTGAGCTTTACTTTCTCATTGAACCGCACTAATATCTCGACTCGATCCTACATATATAAACAAACACGTATATATATATATATATATTATAGAAGCTAGCTGGCGATGGAACCGGGCTGAGGCCGGCGGACCAAAAGCTGCTCCATCGATGGGGCCGGGCGACGTTGTAACTCCGATCCGGCGGCCGGCCGGCCATGTATGTTTCTTTGATTTGGCGATCGAGCGAGGCCGGGATGGAGAAGCTATCTAGCATGCAAATGAGATGATGAATACTATACTATGATGGATGGGATCGGAGTTGCTAGGGCGGCAAGGCATATATTCATTAATTTGTTCAACCACTTAACACCAAAGGGAGTTGGAAATATTAATTCGAACAAATTAAACATAGCTACCTAGCTACGCCGGCCAATCTCTGCTACTTATTAATGCTTTGCATTTATGAGCTATGGACTAGGGCAGAGGATGTTGGTTTCTTCCTATTCAATATATCCATGCCTATATACGATAGCATGTGGAGGGCACATTATTTATATCAAGCCTAGGTCTTTTTTGGGTGGTATTTTTTTGATGAAATCTTTTGAGCTGTTCTTCATTAAATATAGTTTATTCCCATCAACTTTTAACTAAAAATTCCATTGGGAAGATAGTTAAATAATTTTTTTATAAAAATTGTGACTTTTATATACATAAACAACACAACTTTTGTAGACAATTTATTTAACAATCTTCCAAATTGAATTTTAAGCTGATATTTGGTGGACGTAAACTAGACTTGATGAAGACATTCTCAAATAAATTTATTAAAAAAGTTCAACGAAAAGGACCTCAAATGGCCTCGGCCAGACAACGAATCCTGACAGATCGAACACACACACATACTAGCATCGGTCCACACTTTGCGCGCAGTCAATGCCCAACAAGGGGCAAAATGGTCAGTGAAAGAAGTAGCTTCGAAGCGGAAACAACCAAATAGAAGCTTAATTTTGCATGACACACCAAGGGTAGGAAAACAACATAAGAAGATAAAGTTTAGTGTGCGTCGAGATGCACTACAGGCGCATCTAAATGTCATAGCAAAGAGAAAATACAAAGAACAAAATAACAAGTGTTTGTCCAAAAAGTTGTTTTCACGTCCATTTGATAGACCGTGAAGTTCTTGTGTGCCGCGTAAGCTATAAAGAGGCGAATTGCTTCAATCCTAGCCACGGGTGCAAATATCTCATCATAGTCTATTCCCTCTTGTTGGTTGTATCCCTTCACAACCAACCAAACCTTATTTCTCACAATGACACCTTCTTCGTTTCGCTTATTCTTGAACACCCATTTCATGTCGGTGATGGTTTTCCGATGAGGCCTAGCCACGAGTGTCCACACATTCATTTTTTCTGAAACTGATTGACTTCATCTTGCATGGCAATCACCCAGTCAGGATCAACCAGTGCTTCAGAAACGTTGAATAGTTTAGATTGGCTTAGAAAGCAAGACAAGAGGCATTCATTTACTTTTGCTATTCTGGTGCAGACTCCACGACTCGGATCACCTGTTATTTGTTCAGCAGGGTGTTCCTTCGTCCACTTCCGCTCATGTGAAAGGAGTGAAGTTATGATTGGATGATCCAGGTCCTCATAAGTAGCAGATGTAGATTGTTGAGGAGTGGGTTGATTGGGAGTTGTTGGGGTCATTGGGGAGGTTGTTTCCACGCCTTGGTCATTGGGATCCATATGATCAGATTGGGTAAATGAATGAGTATCAGGTGGACCAGGCAGAAGTGATAAATGGATATCAGTTGTTGATGATGTTTGTGGCGGTGATGGACGTGGATTCTCGTAGAAGTGTTAAAATAGTGAACCGAGAACCACACATTAAGGAGTTGTTTGGTGATTTGGATCAACTTCTTCGGATGAATGTGGTTCAGATAGTGTTGGTTTGTCAAGAAGTGTTCAGAAGCAAAGTCTGTCATTTCATACAATGCCACATGCACACTCTCAATGACAGTTCGCCGCTCTCTCAAATAGACTCTGTACGCTTTTGAATGGGTTCGGTAGCCAATAAACACACCTTCTTTGGCTTTTGGATCGAGCTTAGTCCTTTCACTTCTATCATTCACTACAAAGCATTTGCAACTGAAGACTCTGAAGAAAGATATGTCATGGGTATTGTTGAAGAGAATTTCATAGGGGGTCTTGTCAAAGCGTCTGGGAATTGTTGTACGATTTTGTGTGAAGCACGCAATATTGATGGCTTCAGCCCACATGAAGTGAGGAAGTTTGGATTGTATGAACATGATACGTGCGGCTTCAACCAGAGTTCTGTTTCTTCTTTCAAGAACTCTATTATGTTGTGGAGTTTTGGCAACTGAAAACTATTGTGTGATACCTTGAGATTCATAGAAATCAGTGAGAAGTTGATTCTTGAACTTAGTACCATTTTCTGTTCTAATTATAATAAAAATATCAAAAAAAATTCTAGAAATGAAAACTTAAAAAATTAATAAAAAAATAGTAAAAACATAAAAAGAAGGGAGAACTACCAAATAAGCCATCGAATTTACATAAAAAGTGCAAATCACCCTTTTTATTTGAGGCTCTGTCCGGCCATCGCCATTTGAGGCGGTTGCCGGTGGAATTTTTTGATGAAATGTTTTTAGCATCTTTTTCATTAAGTATTGTTTACTCATATCAAATTTTAGCAAAAAATTAAACCAGAAAGGCAATCAGATAATTTACTAAAATATACTGCATTGTTTAACTGCGCAGTTATCTTCAAAAATTCATTTGACTGCCTTCCGGATTGAATTTTTAGCTGAAATTTGGTATGAGCAAACTAGACTTAATTAATAAGATGCTCCAAATATTTCATAAAAAAATTCCACCGGGAACCGCCCCAAATAGCGATGGCCGGACAGGGCCTCCTATAAAAGGGGTGATTTGCACTCTTTATGTATGTTCGAGGGCTTATTTGGTAGTTCTCCCTAAAAAGAATTTAAAAAATATGGAAGCCTTTCCCACCGCATCTACTTCCTCCCTGCACCACCACCTTCGACCGGTGTAAGAAAATTTCATTTTTTTTAAATGTCATTTTTTCTGAAAATGCCAAAAAATGGCATATTACTCTTTCATAATGCCAAAAATTTCACTGAAATTGCCATTAATATGGCATTTTTTTGGTGAACGGAAGTGGTGGTGCTAGGGTAGCAGAGGAAGCGGTGATTTTTTTTTCATTTTATTTAATTTCTTTTACAGAATTGTTTAAATTTTTATTTAATAATTATTTTTTTAACTTTTAATAATTTTTGTACAATTTTTTTAAATTATTTTTTATGATTTTTTTATGAATTAAAACATTTCAAAAGCTACAAAGGTATATTTGTCCAAACACACATAATTAGTCCTACCAGGGAATACAAAACAATGTAGTTCTATTATGTGATTGTGGACTACCTTTTACTCCTATTTAGGTAATTACTTTGTTAAAAAACTACATATGAGAGAGAAAGATATCTTGCTCAATTGTTGGCAAGTTTATCTTCTAATAACCAAAAGTCCAAAAGCAATACATATAAGAGGGAAAATTATCCCCCTTAAATTCTCTGCTCAATTGCTAGCAAACTTATCTTGTATTCCCTCTGTATTTAAAAGTTTGTTACACTTTCCTATTGAGAGAATTCCCCAAATAGGAGTAAAAGATAGGCAAAAAGCAAAAATAGGAATACCATGTTTTGAATAAGAGTAACTTTAGTGTTTAGACAAATATATCTCTACTCAAGTCCCAACAACTTTCATTAATAATTAAAACATAAAAGGAATAACATTAATTTATAATACAATTGTAAAAAAAAATGAAAAAACACAAAAATATATCAAATAAAACATACTTCGTATTAAATAAAATTAATAAAAATAAAAAAATAATTAAAATAAAAAATATTAAATAAAAAACTAAAAAATTAAAATAAAAAAAAAAACTAAAAAAAATATGTAGGCGTCTGCCGCTGCCTCAACAACCTCCCAGCACCACCAGCTTCGACCACCGAAAAAAATGCCAACATTTTTCCGAAATGCCATCATGATGGCAGATTTTGAGAAAATTTGGCATTTTCAAATAGCAAAACCGCCATCTTCATGGCATTTTCAAAGAAAAATGGAAGTTTTAACATAAGATGACATTTTTTCTGCCGATCGGAGGTGACATTGATGGGTGATGGCCAAGGTTGCGCCAAAGGCCTGGATAATTTTTTATATTTTTTTGAATGTGGTTTATCTATTTTTTTTTAATTTATTTTCAAAAAATTTTATTTTTTAAAAAAATATTTCTTTTAATTTTTATTATTTCAATATATTTTTTCAAATATTTTAGATTTTTTTTATATTTTATTAGGATCAAATAAGTCATATTTTAGAATTAACTAGGTTAGGGGTATTAAGGGTACAAAATTAATGTTTACTTCTATTGAAGGAAGTTTCAAGTTTCACTCCTATTTGTACAATTATGTTTATGTTTACTCCTATATTGGGCAATTTCTCATTTCCTATTTGGGATGTATTAAAAAGTTTGCTACACTTTCTTTTTTAATAGATTTTTTTTAAATAACAAACTAACATAAATTTTATAAAACAAGGTGCTACCGATTCACATATCTCAGAGAGTTCACTCTTGCAGTGTGAGGAGTGAGTGAGTGGTATAAGCATCTTACATAAAAGCAAAAAGATAAAAAAAGAGAAACATGCAAGTAAACGGCTGCAGTAGTCAATAATATAACAGCAGCAGGAGGCATGAAACATTAAAAACCCTGCTCACATGAATAAAAATACTTAATTATCCTTATTTTTTCTACATTTTATCTTCTCTTTCCTACTTTTCACTTTCTCTCATACTTTTTCTACACTATTCATTACCCCTACTATTCTCTCTTTAAATCTTATGTCAACATCTAATGTAGGGATCTTTTAAATACGGATGAAGTATATATAATACCTAAAAGTATTACATATGTAAGAGAAACTATTTCGCTCAACAATTAGGAAACTCTTACATATGAGAGAAAAAGTTATCGCGTTCAATTATTATCTTCTAAAATAATATGTTTTAGTAGTTATATATAGGCAATATTGAAGTCGTATGAAAGATAATAAAAATTTACGAATTTTGATATATATTTTTTCTAAATTGAAGCAAAACTGAAAAAGTGATAACACTTTAGCAAAAAAGAAATTTTTAAAAAGTGAAATTGATGATTATGAAGAGCAGAGCAAAATAGGTAAAACCTTAAAGTTATTACTTTGAAACAAAAGTTATAAAATTTGGGGAATTTTAAGTTTGCACCCCACTATTTGTGTGATATTTGACTTTGCACTTCATTTTCAAAAATTTTAGGGCATGTTTACTAACAGAGATATTTTCCTGTTTTCTACTTCTGTTTTTCGTTCTCCAATTTTCTGTTTTTATTTTTCAGTTTTTCTATCTCCAATTTTCTGTTTCTATTTTTAGTTTTCCATTTTCAAATCTGAAAACATGTTCATCAATTTTTTTACCCAGATCTCCAATTCCACACCCTTGACCCCTACCCTTACCACGATCTTGTACTCTACCCATACTCCCCCACAACCCTTCATACCCACCCATACCTACTCGTAGCGGTCGGGGTAGGGAAGTTATGGGTGGGGGTGGGGTAAGGGGTATGGTCGGGGTGGGGTGGTAAGGTCTAGGGGTAGGGGGTTAGGTGGGGGGTAGTGGGTGGGTTAGGGTCGTGGTTAGGGTTGTGGTTAGGGGTAAGGGTGGGGTAGTGGGTAGGGTTTGGGTTAAGGTAGAGGTAGGGTATGGAATTGGGATAGGATGGTGGTAGGGTGGGGCCGAGACCGGGGGTGGGGCCGAGGTAGGGAAGGGGTGGGGGTAGGATGGCGGTAAGGGTGGGGGGTAGTGGGTAGGGTTGGGGTAAGGTAGGGGTAGTGGGATAGGATGGCGGTAGGGTGGGCCCGGGATCTGGGTGGGGCCGAGGTGGTTCCGGGTCGGGCCACCCGGCCCGAGTCCACCCCTAGGCGAAAGGGTGCTGGTAGGATGACTGTACGAGGGTGGGGGTAGGATGGCGGTGGGATGGGGCCGAGGTAGGCGCATGTGGTAAGGGGTAATATACGGGTGGGGGTAGGGTAGGGTGGGTCGGGGTGGGGTCGAGGTGGTAGGGGGTGGCGGTAGGGTGGATCGGGGTGGGGCCGAGGTAGGGGCATGTGGTAAGGGGTGGGGTAGGGTCATTACAGGGAAAAATGGATATGCGGGGTTGGGTTGGGTGGGTAAGGTAGGGGTAAGGGGTAAGGTACGAGAATGGAGGTACCAGAATGGAATCGACATCGGAGCGGGCATGGATCCACCACTAGATGTACGCATGCAAATTCATTGCAGCGGCACTGTAGCATCTGCGTTTTTCAAATTTGGAAAACTAGTAAAAGTCACTTCTCCAAATCATTAAGGAAAAGAGAGACATGTCTCATTTTTTCCATTTTGGAAAACGATTTGGTAAACGCGTTTTACTTTTTTCCTTTCTCCAGTTTTCCAGGAATTTCTTTGGTAAACACGTTTCCTGTTTTCTGTTTTCCAGTTTTCCAGTTTTCTAGAAAACTGGAAAATATCTCTGTTAGTAAACAGGCCCTTAGACTTTGCACCCTATCTACAACATTTTGTGAAGAAAAATTTCTAGATGGGGTGCAAAGGCAAAAACATTTTAGGGGAAATAGGGTGTAAAGTCTAAAAGTTTCGAAAATGGGGTGCAAAGTCCAATATCACCCAAAAAGCGGTGTGCAAAGTCAAAATATCCCATAAAATTTTCAAGTCAAATAAAAAATAAAAGTTGACAAATTTTAACGGAACGAAGGGAGTGATATATAATACTCCATCCGCCCCTTAAAACTTTGACATCTTCCCTTTTTGGGACTTCACAAAAAACTTTGCCACTTTTCCTTTTTATCAATGATTTTGTGGTTTCTTTTATTTCTCTCTTCTCTGCACAAACCTCAACCACAATTTTTACTTTATTATTCTCCGTGTCGGTCTGGCAAAGTTTTAAGGGACGGAGGTAGTATATTCTACAATCAAAAACAAAATGTGTATGAAAGAAGTATGTTTCCTACATAATAGTTGACAAAATAGAATGTTATATTAATTTAGTATTAATAGTTTAGAACTCATAAGGCTCTATCCTGGTTTTTTTTTCATAAATGCAATATTGATGTCACATGAAAGATCGTAAAAATTATGAATTTTGATATTTTTTTTTATAAAAATTGGATTAATAATGAAAATGTTATAACTATTCAAAGAAAAATGAGCTTTAAAATGTGTGATGTTTGTGCAAAGCAAATCAAAATAGGTTGATACACAAATTTATTACTTTAAAAGAAAAGTGACAAAATTTTAGGTTAAATAAAAAAAATGGGCTATAAAAAAGATATAAGCAATATTAGTGTCATATGCTAGATCGTAAAAAGCTATAAATTTTCAGAATTTTTTTGTAAAAAATAGAAGAAAAAATGAAAATGTTATAACACTTTAAAGAAAAAAGGTTTTTTTTTTCATATTATTGGACCCACCAAATATCTCTCTCCGCATGCTACTTGCTTTGATAATTGATATTCCATGTGTGTCCCTTGAATTAGAAAGAAAAAACTGTATGTTGCCACGCGGTAAAATTTTAGAAATTGAGTGAATCTTGGGGAGTTAGCCACGTGTGAATTTAAAGGACAAAGTGGTATGTATTTTGATGAGCTGTATCATTGTGGGGTTCTTTCATTTCCCTAAAAACATGCAGGCCAATGCTTGGTTCCCAATCTCAAGATGAGCAATCACTTTTTCTCATGTTTGTATTAACAAGGTCACAAGCGCCTGTATAAGTGATTTTGGATCAAAGATTGTACCCACTTTTGGATCACGGAATGAATCGACAGTGACCTGCAAGAATGCAAGTTTTTTCACAAGCAATTTACAGGAAGCGATACTATGGAAATACAAAAATTCCTTTTGTACACGTTTTTGTACCCATCAGTACACCCATGTGTCTGTGAGAGTTTTTTTTTTGTCTGTGAAGCGCGGTCCACAGACAAAAGCTGGTTTGTTTTGTCTGTGAAATTTTCCACAGACAAAACAAGTCAACTTATGTCTGAGGACCGCGTTTCACAGACAAAAAAAAACTCTCACAGACACATGCGTGTACTGATGGGTATAAAAACGTGTACACCAAGAATGGTTGATGGAAATATACCCAAACAGTGACTTCAATGATTGAACGCATAGTAACATTATTGTCACCTTAATCCTACCCAGTCACGGCATGTGGCATAAACCGCCTATAAATAATTAACAAATTAACTAAAATCATAAAAAGCTATGGTAAAATTTTACACCAGTTGCCCTTCGTGTTGCAACCTTATTCCGACAGAAAAATGCATTCAAAAGAAATGTTTTGGATAATCACTCCTACACACTCTCATTGGTTACAAAAAATCTTAAATGATTTTTTTTGTTAAACCATTTGACGGTCACTATCCATGGCGATTGTTCTGAGATAGAATTCCAAATCCATCAACATCTTAGGTTTTTAATTTACACTTGAATCCTAGATGAGTTGAGATAGTTGATACAGACATGTAATCACATCCTATTACAAGTAGACTTGTTTCACACATGCCGAAGGAATGTTAACAGAAGCACATACCACGTTATAAATCCCTTGCGAAGTAAGGTGACCAACATCCACTGGAATTTGACCATCTCTTGGCACCATAAGGGCATTGATATATCTATTTGGCTGCATTCTCAAAACTAAAGATTAGTGTGATGCAATTGTGCGTGAAAAGTGAAGGCCTCGTAAGACTTCATATCTTGGATTGTATATATGTGGGCCATGTGGGCCGTGAGAAGGCTTAACATGCTTGCAAGATGGTGGCGGGTAGCCGGGTGGGAACAGACTAGTTGAGACATGCCGAGATCTAATGGCTTATTAGAGCTCAAGTGACTCTGATATTGTATTATGTTGGTTTGTGTTTTGACTTTTGATACATGGCTGATCAGCCGATGTAGTATGGATTAACATATAACACATGACATTTGGAGGAAAACATAGAAAAAACATTTGACCTCGAATCACCAAAATAGTAGGGAATTCAACACACATGTATACATCTACAGCTACTTACAGGATTTTTAAGGCAGTTGTGGTTTCCATGAGTACGATTTAATGCATCTGTGATGGCTGTCACAAAGCAGGAAGCGTTAAAGCCACTAGTTTCTCGGTCATGTGTGCCATTCAACATAAGTACCTATGGAGAATGTTACACAACAAACGAAGAAGATAACTTTCAGGCACGAGTATATATATGGACATGGAAAGAAGTCAAGAAGACTCAAAATATACATGAAATCATCGCTTGCGCGTAAAACTGAAAATTTAAGTCGTTGTGTAGTGGACTTTTTTGGGGGCCACACCTATAGCCAAATACCTGAACTGGCTAGACTTGGTGAAAAATTTATTGTTTCCTATTCTTATTATATTTCTCAGACACCATTTATTGAAAAGTTTATACCTGAACCCAGCCTATCAAATTCTGCCCACCAATTATTGAATGACACATCTTCAGACACCATGAGTTCTGATAATCCAGACAACAACGACAAACAAACAATCTACGCCCTGATAGTGGTCCAGAGGTACTCCAAATTGGAGATCCCCCAGTACAGCAGAGCAGCGCTCCGTTTGCATGACTGAAGCACTGTGAGAGGTTATTGCTCAACAACACACCCCACCATAGGCACGAGAGGTTCATATGACTGGTAACACAAAATTCTGGACACATCAGTTGGATTCAGCAGGAATGGGTCTAACATGGACAATTTAAGCGAATAGACGTCATGAGCCGGCGCCAAACTGTGGTGGCACGTGTGCCTCACTCACGTTGATTTTGGGTATCAGAATTTAATTGTTGGGTCGCCTACGGACTACGGTAGGCACACCACCAGGTTATGGTGGTGACGTAAGGTCCATCCATCATCATTACTCCAATGTCGCAAAGGCTCTCACCTACGGTGGGGTAAGAGGGGGTCGGATGTACGCAGCCTTACCTATACTAAAGCACAGAGAGATTGTTTCGAAAATTGCATGGACTGACTATTGCTTCATAAAAAAGAAGTGCAGAATGTGTGGCATGAAAATTTTGAAGCCTGGGGCAATTCGTATAAAGATGCTAAGTGATTTTTAGAAAAAATTAGCTCACTGCTAATTGATTTTCTTATTCAACTTTTTCTATGGCTCATACAATTTTGAAATAGAGATATAAATAGACTAGTATTGAAGGGAGAATAAGGGTTTAAGCCCCTATAACTATACATAATAAAGATAGAATATTCCTATAAGATTATATACCATCAATCACAAATGTTCGTGATTGGAATTTCCTGATAAAAAACGTTGTCTGGTCACCTCCATTTGAGGTGCTTTAGGGTGGAATTATTCGATGAAATTTTGTGAGCATATTCTCCATAAGTGTAAATTATCTCCACCAAATTCCAACTTAAGAATCAATCGGCAAGTTAGTTATTGAAAACACTGCGTTTTTATATATATTTTGGCACAATGTTTTTCAATAATTTGTTTAATTGACTTCCTGATTAAATTTTAAGCTGAAATTTGGTGGACATAATTTGCACTACATGAAGAACATGCTCACAAAATTTCAACGAAAAAGTCCACCCGATAGGACCTCAAATGGAGGTGGTTGGATGGCATACCTGTTAGGAAATTCTTGATCGGAAGATTACTCCCAGAATAATATCCTAGAATCATTATTATCATTACCCCAGTGCCGCAAAGGCTCCCACCTTTGGTGGGGTAGGGGGGTCGGATGTACGGAGTCTTACCCTTGTACTATAGCAGAAAGAGATTGTTTCCGGATGACCCATAGTGAAAATCGCGTCGAAAATTGCATGGACTGACTGAAGCTTCATAACAAATAAGCGCAGACAGTTTAGTGAATCATTTTGCTTTATTCCATCATATTCCCAAGCCAAAAAATAGTGGTCTTTGGCTCCATTGCAAATGATGGAAAAATATCCTAGAATATATTCCTAAAAAATTTCAAAGCACATTCCTACTTTTATTCTAATACTTCCTCCGATCTTTTTTAGTAGCAACATTCACTTTTTCACGTTTGCCAACGCACAACTTTGACCGTCATTATATTTAATTCTTTATTAGTAAAAAATAATTAAAAATCAGTTTATGAAACTTTTTAATGAGACGAATTCAAATATTTTTCAATTAATAATAATTCATATACATTAATAAATAAAATGTAGTCAAAGTAGAGTACATGAATAGTGTGTAATTTGCAATGTTGCAACTAATGCGATACGGAGGATAGTATATTTCAAAATTAGCTTTGCAACTCTTGTTTCCATTACATGTTAGGACTCTAGTGTTATAAGAAGTTTTTGGTTATTGAATAAATTACATTTTACAGAATTAATAGTGTGTCTTGACAAGGTTGATCACACATTAATCATATAGCTTCGTTTGATTCACACGATTCTCTTTCATATACTCTTGCTCACTTCCATGGACGAGATCTTTTACACACGTCCTTGACATCTTGATTGTGGAGATAGGTTTGCACAATATTATGACCCAATTAGTTAAAGTATGAGATTTCAATTTCACAAAGTATGTAAATAAGTGGTAGAGTTCAATAACCCTTGGTCAGTTTTTGGTTCATAGTATGTAAGATTACCTTAGGAAATAGAATTGCCTCCAGAAAGGTGATGTAATCCATGGAGCCTTAAGCTCTTTGGTTCACTTAATACGATACCACTTGTGGCGTCAAATTGTTAGGAGCAAAACTCATAATAGGAGAACAATTTTTTTTTTTGGAAAATTCACATGAATAATCCCCATCTACCGAGGGTCTTCTCATATTAATATCAAATGTGCATAATTCCAGTATAATCTCAATTATTTAGGGTAGCTTCCAAAAACAACCCGACAACCTGAATAAACCAGTTCAGCTGGTCATCTGGCCAGGTGTCTTGTTTAAATTGGACTTCCTGAATTTTTTATTTTCCTTTTATTTCTTTTCTTTTCTTTCTGCTGCTCGGTCGTCCTCTTCCCTCTGACTTTCTCTTTTCCTTTTTATTTTTATTTTGTCCTCTGAAGCTCCCACTTTCCCCTCCGACTTCTTTCTCCTCTTCTTTTTTCGTCCTTTTTCTTTACCTTTTCCAAGGCTGCTCATCAGTTCTTGGTATCTCTTCTTTCTAATTTTACCAATATTCTATTAACCATAGGTATTATTTTATGATTTATTCATGAATTCATGTCCAAATTTTGATGTCAAAATACAAACCCGACACATCCCCTTCAATTTTGATCAAAACTTGGAGGTATGGGACCAAGTTTGCTGAGATGGACGGACACAAAAAAGAATTAATCGGATCTGCTACTGAATCCTTACTAGTGATCTGGTGGGTTACTGATTTGGACCCAGGAAGAAAAGAGAATGGGCTTTGTTCGCGGGCCCTATCTCTGCCTCTCTTAGGTTGGCCGCAAACTATTTTATTTACACCATACCTCCTTCACCATCCTCCTCGTAGGCTTCTTATTCTTTCGGATTAAGAGAACTAAAATATTCTATCTGAACATACGATTGAGCAAACGACTCTGAGAGGGGAACAACCAGAGGAGGAGACTGGCGAAAAGATAAGAGGGGAGATAGCAGGAGCCCAGAACAGGGGAGTAGCAGGAGTTTTTTTTCCATTCATAGCCGAGAAGAGAAAAGCCGGCAGAGCCATCCGGTAGAAGTGAGAGGCTAAAAGGTTTTACCTATCAAACAAGTTCCAGGTCACCTTGGAGCATTTTGAGAAGGATACTCCCCAAACTGAGATTGTTATGGAATTATACATATATGGGATTAATATTAGAAGCACGCCCATAGGTGAGATTATTGATGTGAATTTTTCCTTTTTTATATGAATAAGAGCAAATATTGTCAACCTCAAACATACTGACTATTGAGATCACACTGCCTTCGCATAAAAAAACACATACTACTCCTATTTAGGGAAACCAATAATACTACCCATGTAATCTTACGATACATATGAAATTCAAGATAATCAAATTACTCCAACATTACCCCATTTTCATAAGTGGGTGTATATGTTAGGTTACTTCGTTAACATACAAAACCTGGCTAAACCAGGGTAATCACTGAAGACGTGTGATTCACCCTCATAAGGGATAAGGCTTCTTACACACTATCATCCACTCAAATGTTTTCTTACTTAATCTTTTATGTCTACATCTCTACATAATGCAAGTAATGGAGAAGAGCAAGCTACCTTAGGGCATGACCGCGAGGAGATGATTTCCCCAACTCCAAGCAAAACCTAGGCATGTAAATAAATCTGTAAAACTGAAATCTTGAAGCACAGTATTTCTATACCCATGACAAATGAAACAACGTATATTAAAGGACAAGAACAGTTATAGTAAAAAGTTGAATCTTATGATTCTTATCTAGGAAAAAAGAACTTAAAATTACCAGAGAGGGACAGATGGAAGTAAAGAGTGATCCCATGGCAAAAATGATACAGTCTGCATTTTTCAATTGTTCCAAGACTGTAGGGTTTACATCAGGGAAGACCTAACCTTTGATTAAGAGGAAAAATTAATTGCGGCAATCAACTGAAGACAACTGCCATGCATAGATACTATCTCATTGATTCAGAATATTTATCTATATATTAAAAAACTAAAAGAATAGTCACATTACTAAATTGATATTTAAAAATAAATTAAAAAATGTTTTGAACATGAAATCATTTAAAAAAGATACTCCCTCTGTCCCGTACAGAAGTTCCCATTCGGTTGACGATGCTTGCCTGACAATAAAGCAACTTGATCCCTGTTCACACTCGGATTATTTTTAGTAAATAAAATTTACATATTCAGACACTACATTAAAACCGATACAAAGCCTGATCAAGAAAATTTAAATTTGATAAAATTTTGATATAAAAAGTAAAAGATTAGGAGTGATTTAAGTTGACCAATGAATAGTGAACAAGAACTTCATTTCGGGACAGAGGTAGTATTAAATTATTTTAAAAACAAATGACGCAAGAAGAGTGTTTTGACATAGTAAAACTCCGCCATGAGATTATTTTTGATATCATGCATGTCCAAAACCAGGATAAAGGAGGATGATGTTGTGGTAGGCACGTGACAACCAACAGTATTACTTAGTCATATCACATGACATATGTCAACCATCGAGGGATTGTCACACCATGAAACTTTGGAGCAAGTGGTTGAGCAAAGACTCCGAAAAAGTGTAAGATTTTGGAGAATCAATTTGATTTTCTGTTTGGACGCTCAACAATTGAGGTCATTCACCTTCTTAGACAAGTTGTGAAGAAGTATATAGACACTAAAAAGGATCTGCATTTGGTGTTCATCGACTTAGAAACGACATATCACGTAAGTATATTAATATCATCATGGCTATGTATGAGGCTTGTAATAAAGTGTTCTTACAGTGTAGGGAGGACGACAGAGTTCCCTAGCACCAAGGATCGGCTCTAAGTCCTTTTGTATTTGCTATAGTCAATGATGAACTTATGAAGTTAATTCAAGAAGATAATAAGATATATCGTGGTGTATGATGTTTGCCGACAATATTGTATTGATTGATGAGACACAGTCGGGTGTTAAAGCAAAGTTGGATATATAGTGACAAACATTAGAGACCAAGGGGTACAGACTAAGACAGAGCAAGACTGAGTATATGCATTGCAAGTTTGGTGGAGGTAGAAATAGTAGTAACGGTGAGATTACCCTTGATGGCAATGAGATATGTTCCATTACTTGGACTCCATATTTCGGAAGGATGAAGATGTATCTCATAGAATCCGAGTAGGGTGGATGAAATGGAAGAGTGCATTAGGATTTCTATGTGATTGAGGTATGCCAATTAGACTGAAGGTTAAGTTTTATTGGACAACTAGGTCTGCATTAATGTATGGCATAGATTGTTGGGCGGTGAAACAATGTCACATTCAAAAGATTAGTGTGATAGAGATGTGTATGTTGCGTCGGATGTGTGGACATATAAAAAAAGACTGCTTGAGGAATGAGATAATCCAACAAAGGATGAGAATAGCAGCTATAAAAGATAAGATGCAGATGTCGCGGTTGAAAGGTGGGGAGAAAAGACCAAGTGATGAGAATAGCAGCTATAAAAGATAAGATGCAGATGTCGCGGTTAAAAGGTGGGGAGAAAAGACCAAGTGATGCACCCATTAGACTAGTTGAAAGGTGGGGAGAAAAGGCGAGGAGGAGAGGGAGAGGCAGACCGAAAGAGACTTGGGTTAGAGGAATCAAAACTGATATGCTTCTTTTTGGGTTGCATGAGAGTATGACTTTGGAGAGAGGAAAGTGGAGGGTGCATGTTCATGTGGATGATTGATCTTTTCTCTCTCTTTCTCTTTTATCTTTTTATATATCTTCTTTATCATTCTATTTTCTTATGTAATTTTTATCTTTTATTTTTCTTATGTTCTTGTGTTATGTTTATCTTATATATTTATCTTTATCGTATCCATTTTATCTTACCTTATCTTTTTATTTTTATTATCTTTCTTCTCTTTTTTGACTTGATATCATGGTTTTTATCTTTTATCTTTCTTATGTTCTTGTGTTCTTGTATCTTTCTTATCTTTTATCTTATCCATTTTATCTTACCTCATCTTTTTATTTTTCTTATCTTCCTTCTCTATTTTGACTTGATATCATGGATTCTTTCATGTTAGCCGATCCCAAAATCTTTTGGAAATAAGAATCGAATGTTGTTGTCATTGTTGTATAGGCCTATAGGGAGTGTTTTGAGTTCCTCTCTACTGGTGACTCTAGTGTATTTTGAGGAGATTATAAGAATTATAAGATGTGCATATTTAGTTCCTAGGTTGGGGTTCTATTTTAGTTAATGGGCAGTAGCTTTATTCCCTGAGTGAAAAACTTAATTCCAAGAGCAATCTTTCACCTAAAGTTTTAGACGGGGTTGGGGGCAGCGGGTGGCGGAAGGGTGGGGGCCGGAGAGGGGAAGGGGCGGGGTGATCAATATGTGAATCTCATATTGGTCACTAAGGTTTTAAATAGACCAAATCGGACATTATAGTTACTTGTGAATCTCATATTGGCCACCAAGGTTTCGTAATTCGTAGTTTTTGGACACTCACGATTTTCTTCTTCCGTTAATAAAAAACGTTTAGTTTTATTTTTCCTTTCCTTTTTAGTGTCAATAAACTAACTTTGGGGTATTTAATTTGAGGTTTTAGAATATATAATTCGATTTTAATTAACAACTTCTTATCTAAACAAGTTAAATATACATTTAGGACTTTCATTCAAATGAATTTTATGGAACTCTGGAAATATCGATTTGTTAAATTGATTTAACAATATTAAAGAATTCAATTACATTATAATAGATTTTCTTAACTAGAACATCTAATTATATATACTAAATCTAAATATACCAATTAAGTTATTTTTAGGTACATAGAACAAAAGAGAAAAAGGAAGGGGTTATGTCAAAAATATTACTAAAAAAAATTTGGACAAAAAAGTGACTTTCTTTAGAAATTTCCAAAAATAAGACTAAAAACAGGTTAAGAGACTGTTATACCCCTTATACTAATATCATTTCACTCACTGATGCTACAGTAACGGTACAATGACCAAAATCCGTTAGTGACCAAAATCCGATAGTAACCAAAACCTAAAAGTGACCAAAAAATAAAAAAATATGTTCGCTACTACCATCGCCGGTCACAGTGACCAACCCGTCGCTGGCCATAGTGACTTGCCAACTGACCTTGTCAGCTACAGTGACCCCCACCGGCCACAGTGACACTCACCAAACAACATTGACAGTGACCACCGCCAGTCATTGCTGCCAGCCACCGCTGACCACCTCCAACCACCACCATCCAGTGACACCGCCGCAGTGACTTTGTCTAGTGACTCGCCATCAGTTACCCCAGTGACTCGCCGTCAATGACCTGTCGTTAGTGACCAACGTCAGGGACATAATTTTTTCCGGCAGCCACCACCCATCCCTCCGCCCCTGCTGCCACCAACCCCATTCATTCTCCTCTAGTCCCTCCCATGATGTATCAGCCCCGCCCCTGCTCGCACCAGCCCCATCCATCCTCCTCCAATCCCTCCAATGACGTACCAGCCTCGCTCCTTGCCTCGCCAGCTTGGCTGCAGTGTCGAGGTTGGCTGCAGCGTCGAGATTGGAGGAGTGTAACGTGAACTAGGGTTTCTGGATTTTACTGGGCCGTTCCTGTTTTGGGGAATTGAAGGGCATTTTAGACAATAAACATCACTTTTAATCAGTTTTTTGTCCAGCCGAGATTTCCTCTTGTTTTTGTCTTTTGAATAGCTGTACATCCTATTTTCGTCATTCTTTCAAAAAGGAATACGTACAGCTTTCATGTTAAATGTGAAAAATCTTTGGTGGGTGCCCAAAAATGATTAGAAAAACGTTAAATTTGATACATTTGAAACTTTAGTGTCCTATATGAGATACAAATGTAACCATAATGTCCAATTTGGCCCATTTGAAACCTTAGTTTCCAATATGAGATTCCATAGTGTCCAATTTGAGGCTTATTCCTTTTTTTTCTAAAGAAACAAACGTTATATTGCAGTTTTTTTAAAAAGTAGTAAGTTAGTGTAGTGTTTCTCTTTAACCCTGAAAGGGGTGTTACAAAAATAGAGGGAAAACAGAAGATCAGTAAAGTAGCCTCTATTATTTATTTGATTGATGTTTTCTATTTTTCTAAAAAAAGAGACTAAAAAGTTTTTCCATTAAGGCAGTAATTAATCACAGTCCATTAATTAGACCTTTCTACATATTTTCAGCTCACGGCTTTCCCACTTGTACCATATCATGCATTGCTAAAGTAGGGTTTATACAGCTCAACTTATAACTTCCATTGTGTTAAATGACCGTTGTTAAATTGCTTTAGAAATCATAAACATTTACTCCGTATTTAACACTACTCAAGGATCATTGACGAATTGAATACAAACGTAAATAAAGTCAAATGAGAGTAGAGTTACCCCATTTTTGGTACAAAGTTGTGACAGTATTTAATCATTTACCTCGTGCGATAAGTTGCTGCCCTCACTTGACATGTAGAATACTCTCTTTATTTTTGTAGGAAGCGCAGGGCATGAAGTTATTCCCTGTCCAGATAAATTTAACCAGTCAAATGAGTAAGCAAATGTCAAATATAGTGTGTAACACTGTAACTTAAGAAGCATATATAGAGCTTAGCAAATTGAACAGAAAATTTCAAAAACTTGGCACTTGTGCATTGTTATACACTCAAACTACTGAGATGAGTTTGAAAGATTAAAAGCCTGTTTTGTACTCCACCTTTTTGGTTATCAATCATATTTTATACAAAACACGAGCTAATTTGCATGCATTGTTGAATTACATAACAATTGTAGTGCATAAGTTACTATTTTCATTGAAATGAGAACGAATGACATTTATAAGAATACCATCATCTGTTTTGTATATGTTTCCTTTTTATTCGAAATTGCCTATACTATAATTGAATAAATCAAACGTATTGCAGACTCTTCAATCTCACCCAACCTTTCTTCTCACTAATCAAACATGGAAACAATTTTTACAAGTAGGGTGAAGTGGTGAACTCTTATTTAAGCTATGAGCCTCACTGCACCAAAAAAAGGCCCAGCTACGGCTTAGTTTTTAAAACGTACTACCTTTGTCCCTCTAACATTGGGAGGGAAGTAGTGGTGCATTTATTAAGAAAAGTGGAATTGTGTGATAGAGAGCAGAGAGATCAAGGGGCGGGAACGGGCTTGGGCCCACCTCCGTGGGCTGGTTGTGGGCTAGAGTTATAGTTTTATTTATTATTATAAAGTTTATGTTATGTTTTCTAGTTTGGGCCTATTATTAGTAGAGTATTTCGTAGAGTTAGTATGGACTTAATTAGGATTTATTTAATTTGCGCCCGGTTAGGGTTTCTCTTAGAAGGCTATTTATACCCCTTGTCGGGTTCATTCTTGCTTATCTTGGAATAAAGTTGGATTTCAGCCTTTTGACTTTGGGCAACGGTTTTTAACATTGATTATCTGGGCAACGGTTTACCACATTGATTTTTGTTTTTCTGTTCTCAACAAATGGTCCGACTTGCCAGATCCCGTCCCACCAGGATGACTAGATCTCAGAACGACCGCTTGACAGAGATGGTGGCCGAGCAAACTCGGATGAATAAAACCCTAGAGGAGCAGAGATCATCGCATCCCTGGCAGCGCTTACCAAGGCGATCGTTCCGCCAGTCACGACGGAAATAAGCTCGGACGCGGTTGGCAGCCCCATCATATCTGCGCACAGCGGCGACGGACAGCCGCGCAGCGTCACTTCTTCCTTGGCTGCGCTCACAAAGGCTCTCGCGCCGCCAGCGGCCGAGGAGCATTCAACGACAGTGGCTTCAATCGACGCGGCATCAGCATCTTCGTTCAGAATTGGACTGTGCAGCACCTTTCTCACAATGTTGCTCTCGTTTAACGGAGAAGAACCGATCAGCCGGGTTGATAGGGCTGAGCAACAGTTTGAATTGAACTGTACTCCGCCGGGAAAGAAGGTGGCAGCCGTTGTAGTTGCGATGGAAGGGTCAGCCCTATATTGGTTGACCTGGTCACGGGCACGAAAGCCGGGCATGTCATGGGAAGAGCTTACACAGGCATTGGTGGCTCGTTTTGACTCACGGTTTAAGGGCAATTGCTTTGAACGGCTGCCCGGAGGCAAGCAGACAGGGACTGTGGAGGAGTACATCTCAATTTTTCCTAAAGATACTGGGCAGCCCCCGGGGACAAATGTGATCCGGTTTCCGGATTCCAACCTTGATAGAGAGAGCAGAGAGATGAAGGGGCGGGAACGGGCTTGGGCCCACCTCTGTGGGCTGGTTGTGGGCTAGGATTATAGTTTTATTTATTATTATAAAGTTTATGTTATGTTTTCTAGTTTGGGCCTATTATTAATAGAGTACTTAGTAGAGTTAGTATGGGCTTAATTAGGATTTATTTAATTTGGGCCCGATTAGGGTTTCTCTTAGAAGGCTATTTATACTTCTTGTCAGGGTTCATTCTTGCTTGTCTTGGAATAAAGTTGGATTTCAGCCTTTTTGCTCTGGGCAACGGTTTTTAACGTTGATTATCTGGCCAACGGTTTACCCCGTTGATTTTTATTTTTCTGTTCTCAACATTGTGTAATTGGTATTAAATTGATAAAGTGTGAACAAAGTAAGAATAAATTGAACTAACTTAATGGAACGAGCGAAAAAGGTAAAATGGGACAAAGATAGAGGTACGGAGGGAGTAATACCCAACAAGGTCCAAAACCAGAGACGACTATTAAAAATACCAATTTAAAACTCCTACAACTCTTGGAGAAAAAGATTATATATATATATATATATATATATATATATATATATATATATATATATATAACTAGTTGATTTTTGCAAAACACGTGTAAGCTTTTTCAGTATAAATGAAAATAAAAAAAATACAAGTGAAATAGTGCAAAAAGATACCTTATCGATGGGTTCCATCCATCCATTTGTTGGATGAGATATCTTATTCTGGCCACGTATAATGGTACCATCCTACATTACATTGGAAAAAAGAAGAGCAAAATTTGATATCCTGTGAAGTAAACATGGATTCTTTTTCACATCCTCACTGTACTAAAAAATAATCTAATTAAACCAAAACAAGGAAAAAATGCATGCTAAGGGGAAAACCTGGGGGTGAGCAGCAAAATGTCTTAATCGTAACCAGGAAACAAGTCAAGAATGCTTCAATGTAATTAAAGCAGCAATGTTGTTTTTCATCTCCTATTTGGTACTCATCCTTGAATCCTTGCAATCAGATCAATTGGCTTTATTTTTAATTTCAATTTTGCCCTTTGAAACTATTCTGCCCAAATACCTGCTTAAAACAATGCAAGGTATGCGTTCTGCAGTTGGCTTTAGTTAAAAATAATCTAACTGTGGCTTCCATTGCCGCCCCATCTGAAGTGCGCATCTCTAAATCCTCATGAACTCAAGCGAGTGGTACTTGGGTGCAAATTATTTGGAAAATTCATCCTTTAGAATTGACTTGGAATTAAGGAAGATAGGTCAGCCCACAACTTCTTGGTCCACCTCAACCCTGGATTCTTTAGTGCTACAGTTATGGGGTAAAATGTTATTATTGAATTCACACTCATATTTGAAACATAAATGGTGTGAATTGCAGAGATTAAATAATGATGAAAATGTACGTGGAAAGAGGAGGAAGGGCACTGCAGGTTTTTCTCGTGGAATGATCCTCCAGTCTGTCATCGAACAAAACTATAACTCATGGCCTACTCAATAGGCTACAGATGGTGGAAGATGAAAATGAGGCATTCCAGGGTGTTCTACTGTTCTACTACCAATTAGGATCCGATGTTTTCTGCCTCCGCTCAAGTAGTTATGTACTTATGTCTGAGTGAGGACACTATTGCATGTTCCACTACCATGTGTTGTGCACAACCACACTTTAAATAAATATTTGCAAATAATAACTAAAAAAGGGCAAAGTTGAAATTAAATGTAAAGGTAAGGGATCAAATTGCAAGGATTTAAAGGGTATTTACCGAATAGAGAAGAGAGTAAAAAGGATAGCAATGAATACAAATTATTTTAAAAAATAACTCTACCCAAATTCATACAGGCATGCTTGCTCAAAATAAACGGTGCTCATATTTAAAATTAAATGATTGGAATAAAAAGACGCATTACTAATCAGAAGATAACTCCGGGGGGCATGGAAGGTAGATAACTCCACCACCATCATCATCATTACCCCAGTGCCGCAAAGGCTCCCACCTGCGGTGGGGTAAGGGGGGTAGAATGTATGCAACCTACCCATGTACTGCACAGAGAGTCTGTTTCTGGATGACCCATGCTGAAATTCGCATCGAAAGTTGCATGAACTTACTCTTGCTTCATAACAAAGAAGCGCATACAATTTAGTGAGCCATTTTGCTTTATTCCATAATATTCCAAAGCCAAAAAATAGTGAATCTTCGGCTCCATTGCAAATGATGGGAAAATGGAAGGTAGATAACTATGGGAGAAAAATCATACCCATAATTCACAGGCCAAAGTAAGCCTCTCATTCGTGGATATCACTGGAAGAACCAGACTGTCTATTGGAATATCAGAAACGCGTGAAAACAGAAAAATTGCGGCATCTAGAGACTGAAAAAATGTCCTTGCTCCTGCAAAGAAAAAATTCCCAATGCTACAAGAGTAACAGGGTTTTAACAGGCCAATTAGAAACTACAAAAGCAAGTTCAAGACACTGAAGACAGTGACAACATTGTTACAGTCGAAACACATTATATAAACCATGTCCACTAAGCGGGATAGGGGAAATTCAGAGCCTGTTTGGTAACCCCTATTTTCAGCTTATCACCCTTATCCATTAAACATGTAACTTTTGATTTTATGCATTGATTCGTGTAATAATCAAAATAAGTATGATTGAAGTTACTTTTATGGTTGAACTTACTGTAGAAGGTCATTTTAGCTACTTTCATATAATTTAATCTTTATTTTATTAACTTTATTAATAAAATGTATTTTAAATATAATTTCTTCATAATTCAGCAAAATCGATCAATTTAGCTGATTCAGCCGAAACCTTATCAAATTCAACAGATTCTAACAATTTCATTACTACCAACAGGGCTCTTAAACTGTTGACAGCTTTACAGACATGAGTTGCAGAATTACAAGTATCTATCAACAACATCAAAGAGGAAAGCACATAAAGAAGTAATCCAATGACTATATAAAAGCATTACTAGAATAGGTTGACGAATGGACCATGGTATGTGCTATTCAATAGTGTATAAACACCACATTTTAGAATGGTTGTACATTGTGTTTACTCAACCTTAGTATAATTATGGTGTAATCTTTATCTTCTAAATAAAACTAGAATTAGAAAATATTAGGAGATTTTGACACGTAAGTAAGAAACATGATGGAAAAGCAAAAGGAATTCACCTGGAGCATAAGGAAGGAGCTTCATAGGAGACAAAGAAAAAAGAAAAATCCAATTTGGAATCACAACCGGTCGGGTATATCCAATACCCGATTGCGAATAATTTAACCCCAACATCGTATAAGATCAAATAAAGCAAAAGAACGTGAGGAAATCAGATCTGGTCATATACCCGGTCAGGTATATTGACATACCCAATCCGGTATGGCTAGATTCCAACACTTCCATAGCTACTGCAACGGATATTCATTCGGGTACTTGACCCAACCAACTCATTTCTCCTACAAAAACACATCTTTCCTTCCCACTTTACAAATATATTAATCCCTTTTTATCCATGTAACTTATGTAGTCTTTTGAGCTTGATTTTGCCATATTGAAGCTAATGATTTGTAAGTTGTGAGTTATTTCTTTAATCATTGATAGGAACCCAACACTTCTCTTATTGAGTAGCTTAATATTGTACAGGGGTAAGGCTTCGTACATCCAACCCCCTCTTACCCCACCGTAGATGGGAGCCTTTGCGACACTGGGATAATGATGATGATGAGGGCCGGCCCCATTAGGAGAGTATTAAAATTCAAAATAAGCGCATGTAAGGGGAAAAGGGGTAGGCAAAAAATTGGGATCGCGCTTGGAATTGGGAGTGCGAGACTACTCGAAGTGTCTCAATAATATTTGTTATTCTCTTTCTTTCTGTCTACGCCATAGTAATCTCGTTGGGTTCTGAAATCTTCATCGATAATATATTCATTTTCTATTGTGTTGTTGAGTTCTCTAACATTGGTATCGAAGCACCATTTTCTGCGTATGGTGGATGCCGGTTACATGAACGCAGATGGAAAACCGAGTGGACAAGGTGGAACGGAACCTGGAAGAGATGCAAGCGGATAAGGATGGAATACGATAGGATGTGGGTGGAATACGATTCGATGTGGATGGAATACGACCAAAGATGGAGGATATGCATCAGCTCTAACTCAACCTCGGTCAAGGCGATCTAAGGGCGATCGCAACACTCGCATAAGCAATTGTCATCAAACCGCAGAAGTTGGTCGCGCTCCCGTGGCAAGTCACGAAGCTTTATAGCTTCGTCGAACTCCAGAGGTAAATCTGATAGCTCGTGATCCATCTCTTTTCGGCGTGAAACCAACGCAAACAAAATGTTCGTTAGAGTTGGAAAGAAGACTGATCTTCTGTTATTTAACGGCGAGGATGCTTATGGGTGGACCATCATGGTAAAAAGGTTTTCCCAGTTGAATAACATACCAGAAGAAGATAAGGTTGAGTGTTAGACAAGCAGCAAGGCAACCGGATCAGTTTTATAATAGAGTCTACCAAAGGAGGAGGAGTAAGGCAGTTAGTACTAACTAACTAGTCTGTTAGCTATGTTGTGCAGTTGTTTTAGTCCCTGCGTGGACCACTTACTATAAATAGAAGTTTATAGAACTAGTAGGCAGGCTGTTAGACTTGTGGACTGATCTGTTGGAGACTGGGCATCTCGAACTGTCCCCCCTTTTCTTGTATTCCACTCTTGTTCATTTCATATCATCAATAAACCCTAATTCTCTCAATTCTTGTTACTTGTGGATAGAAATTACTACAATCATTGTTCTGCATTATCCAGTGTCTTATCATTGGTATCAGAGCATCGATTCTGGTGATCTGTTTTGTCGTTGAAAGTACCGGAAATTTTTTCCAGTCGGTGAATGGTTCGTACAAGGGCAAAGATGGAGCAGCGAATGGAAACCTTGGAGATCGGTAAACTAGCGACGGATGAGGCGCTAACCAGAATGGAGGACAGATTGGAGAATCTGATGGTAGCGATGAATAGACAATTCGAAACAATGAATGGAAGGATGACGGACATGCAGAACCAATATCGCGAAGGAAGGAGGTCGCGATCACCACAACGTCATCGATCAAGAACATCGAGTAGTCCGAACACTTCCAGAGGTAACTCTACTCATTCGCATATTCATAATCACAGACGCAGAGATGAAAACCCTAGATTTCCTATACAAGCGGGTAGAAAGATTGATTTACCCCTGTTTAATGGAACTGGTGCATATAATTGGGTTATACGGATGGAAAGGTATTTCAGATTGAATAATATTGAAGAAGAAGAAATGGTTGAAGCATCTATGGTGGCAATGGAAGATAAGGCTCTAAATTGGTTTCATGGGTGGGAAAGTCAGACTGAAGTAACTGATTGGGAACTCTTAAGAAATCTGTCATACGTAGGTTTCAACCGGAGTTAATTCAGAACCCATATGATCATATGTTAAGTCTGAAACAAACAGGATCTGTACAGGAATATAGAGATGAATTTGAAATGGTGATTTCTCATCAGAAAAACAAAGACAGAGAGCTGTTGAGAGGCATATTCATTAAGGGTTTGAAGAATGAAATCAAAGCAGAATTGAAACTGTACGTTTCCAAATCTTTAACTGAGATTATGGAGAAGGCTACCTTGATAGAATTGAAAAATGAGGCAATACAGTTGAAGAGAATGGAAGAAGACAGATATGGGGGAAAAGAGAAAGGTGTATATGCTTCTAAATCTCAGTATGGAGGAGAGAATTACAAATCCAAGACTGGAAACTCTTGGTATTCTGGGGGTAAAGGTGCAGGGGAAAACAGAAGTAATTTTTCTGGGATCAGTTCTATGGGGAAGAACATCACGGACATACAGCCTTCTGCATTCAAGAAAGTGGGACCACAATTTTCACAAGAGGAATATCAGAATAGAAGCAGAAAAGGGCTTTGTTTTAAATGCGGAGACAAGTGGAATAAACAACATACTTGTAAACTAAAGAATTACAAACTGATTATGGTAGAAGATTCAGAAGAAGAGGAAGATTCTGAAGATTCAGATGATACCGATACAGAAGAAGAAGAGATCATTATGGAATCTAAATCCATGCAGTTATCCCTGTTGAGCAAAGAAGGTATTCCCTCCTTGAGAGCATTCAAAGTCAGAGGTATGATAAAAGGAGAATGGGGGAAAATAAATGTAGAGGTGCTGATTGATAGTGGAGCCTCACATAACTTCATTGCACAGAAATTGGTGGATAAAATGAAGATACCTTATAGTACCATTAATGGTTATAAGGTGCAGATAGGGAATGGGGACAAGATATGCAATAATGCTAGGTGTGAAGCATTATCATTATGCTTGCAGAACACTACAGTGCAGCAGGATTTTTATATCCTAGAATTGGGAGGTACAGATCTGGTACTTGGAATGGCTTGGCTGACAACCTTGGGAGATGTTGAGATCAATTTCCAAAAGCAGACAATAAAGTGGGAAGAAAATGGGGAAGATAAGATGATTCAAGGGGATAAACAGTTCAATTCATTGGAGATTTCTCTAAAAACCACTACACAGATATTACATGATGAAACCTGTGAAGGAAAGACACAAAAAGAACAAGAAAGAAAGGAAGAGGATGAAACCTGGAAGAAAATAATGACTGAATTTCCTGAGATTTCACAGCCATTGAAGAAACTACCACCAAAGAGAGCTTGTGACCATGCTATAAAGATTCAAGGAGCTAAAATACCTAATCTGAGACCATACAGATATCCACAATATCAGAAGACTGAAATAGAGAGAATTATACAAGAAATGTTAACTGAAGGAATTATTCAGCCAAGCAACAGCCCCTATAGCAGTCCTATACTTTTAGCAAGGAAGAAAGATGGAGGATGGAGGTTCTGTGGGGACTACAGAGCTTTAAATAAGATTACAGTCCCTGATAAGTTTCCAATACCCATCATAGAAGAATTGCTTGATGAACTAGGTGGGGCCAACATTTTTTCCAAACTGGATCTTAAATCTGGTTATCACCCGATCAGAATGAAGGAGGAAGACAGGCAAAAGACAGCATTCAGAACGCATGAAGGTCATTACGAATATTTAGTTATGCCTTTTGGCTTAACAAACGCACCATCTACTTTTCAAGCTTTGATGAATCAGGTATTAAGGCCTTACTTGAGAAAATATGCCTTAGTATTTTTTGATGACATCTTGGTTTATAGTAGAACTTCAGAGGAACACCAAGAACATTTGAGAGCAGTTTTAGCTGCTTTGAGGGATAATCAGTTGGTGATTAACCTAAAAAAATGTTCTTTTGGACAACCTCAATTGATTTACTTAGGGCACATAATATCGGGAAAAGGAGTAGCAGCTGACCCTACCAAGATAGAGGCAATGATTAAGTGGCCAG